TTTTTTTTGATTGAGTTATTAATAGATTTTGAAATTGCATTTATAGACTGATGATCTGAACATTAATTTAGCTTTATTTTTTTATCATGTATCTTAAATAGTAATTTTGGTTGAACTATTCATTTAAGTACCAAGTTTTTTAGTCTAATTTTCACATGCATTTTTTTTTTTTGAGTGATGAATCACAATGTTTACTTTTAAAAATAAAAAAGTCAATATTTTATAAAATAAAAGTCAATATTTATCAAAAAAAAAAAAAAAATCAATTAATTTAATCTCCAAAAATGCTGCTTGTTCAAACTACTTATTTAAAATGAGCTGAACCAACACAATTTTTTTTTTGTGTGTGTGTGTGAGTTTTTTGTGGACAACTTAATTGTTTTGTGTTTAATCCGCCTAAATTTGTATTACACTTAAATTTTAGTGAGCCTAATTGATTTGTTTTGGGACAACATGAAGGATGTGTGTGCACTGTAAAAAATGCTGGGTTCCACACAATCGATTTGTGTTAGTACAACATGAAGGAATTAAGTCAACAATTTTACAATTTAACACTTATTAGTTTGTACAAATTTAGGTAGATTGAACATAAATCAATTAAGTTAGCACAATAAAAACTACATTATTGTGTTGTTATAGCTCATTTTAAATAAGTAGTTTGAACAAACAGCAAATGTCTTTTTTTGACAGTATAGGTTCATGGCCTTAACACTTTAACTTTGTTTTAAAATCCCTATATGAAACAGTCAGTGACCACCAATGCACTGTATTGTCTTTTTTTCTGATTTAGTTGTCACCATTTTCCTCGGGATCCATCAGCAAGCTCTTTTCCTGCCTTCTCCGTGGGCCACAGGACTCTTGGCCTTCACTGTCATCTGGTTTGTGTTGGCAGATTTGGTGCTGGAAGTCCATCGAAGGGGGTTTTTACCTGTAGGTCAGTAAACCGCCCTCAACCATGTGTGTTCTGTTCCCGTACCTCCAATCCTCAGCTGTGTCTTTGCAGAGAGGCTGTTTATTGTACTGCACTGTTATGAGTAATGTTGCTTCTGTGCAGGAAATCAATAGTACTGTATGAATCCATTAAATTGTAAAAGGTTTTTTATTTTTCTGCATTAGTAATCGTCATGTTCCGCTGAATGCTAATGAGTTTGAAATGTCAATGTGTTTTTATGCTAGAAAAATGAGAAAAAAACAGGCTTTTGTCTTTTATTTTTTCCTTTTAGGCTGCGTTTAGTTTTTTTGTGCGTAAGCTGCTGTAGATAGGGTCAACAATTTGGAATGTGATTTTTTTTTTTTTTATGTTTTGATTCACTATATGAATTGTGTTTATTTATTGAAAAATGTGATATACAGTTGCAATCAGAATTATTAACCCCCCTGAATTATTCGCCCCATGTTTATTTTTTTCTCCAATTTCTATTTAATGGAGAGAAGGTTTTTTCAACACATTTCTAAACATAATAGTTTTAATAACTCATTTCTCATAACTGATTTATTTTATCTTTGCCATGATGACAGTAAATAATGTTTTACTTGATATTTGACTATATTGACTATCAAAAAATTGCTTAAAGGAGCTTATAATTTTGACCTTAAAATGTTTTTAGAAAATTAAAAACTGCTTTTATTCTAGCCAAAATAAAACAAATAAGACTTTCTGCAGAAAAAAAAATTGTAAGACATACTGTAAAAATTTGTTTCAAATTGTAAAAAAAAAAAAAAAACATAACATACAACTATATATATATTTTTTTCTGATTGGAAATGTAGATATAATCATAAAAGTCTGGAATATAATTTTTTATGTTTTTAGTCAATATTTATGTGTGAGTGAGTTTGATTTATTTAATGAAAATTTAAATTCTATTAATTTATTAATTAATTTATATTTATATTATTTAATACTTGTATTTATTTAATACTAGTAGTACTTTATTTATAACTATTTTTTATTAATACTGATTTGGTGCTTACGGATTATTATCACAACCAATCATCTTTTGATTATTATTATTATCAATGTTGAAAACACTTGAATAAACTGTTATTTATAAATATTAATTTTGATTTCAAATACATTTATTAATTGATTTGTTTATGCATTTATTGAACTTACTACTATGCTAGAATATTTGCAGAGATGTATGAATGCAGTCCTCCAAGCTCATGGGAGTCATACACAATATGAATTCTTTCTCCATTGCAGCATAACTTTATATTCTAAACTGGACATTACTTCTGTTAATTGACAGGACTTAAGCAAAGTCAGACCAAACTATCCTATTTAAACAATTAAAAATCAAGGCATGAACGTATTTTATTTTTGTAAAATAAGTGTAATCTAGAGGCCTTTGAATTTCATGTAAGCCACCAAATGATCAACTAGAAATCAAGTTTATATTTGTTGTTCCTAAAACCTGGATAGGCGACAAGACTTTTGTCAGGTAGTGTACAGTATATAGAAGCAAAAACATAATTTTCAACCATTGATAATATTAAGAACCATTATTATTAATTTAGCACCAAAAATGACTAATATTTACTGAATTTATATAATTATATATATATATATATATATACACACACATATATATATATATATATATATATATATATATATATATATACATTTATATGCATATACATAAATCCTCACAATCTTATGATGTACTTATTATTGTCATATTATTATTGTTTTTAATATTATATTGTACATACACAAAGGATAGTCATGTGTTTATTATAATGCATTAAATAGCAGAAGATTATATAGAATTGTCATTATTAATCCGAGTACTGTTTTTGTTTATATATTTTTCAGGTAAATATTTTAAAAACGTCAAAATCTACTCAGAGCATATTAATTCTGAGGACAAAGAGGAGGTTGTGTTTGTTCCTGACGAGAGTGAGACTCTCAGCAATGTGAGTTGAGTTTGTGGAGTATTTACTCCCTCATAACAAACATCTACATATTAATATTACATCCTTAATTATCCATTCCATTTTGTCTTTCTGTTTTCCAGGAATCCCGTTTTAAAAATGTAGTGCTGGCTGTTTATCTCTGTGGAAATCTGGGATGTCTGTGTGTTTTTCTTTGGACCATCATTGCAGTATGATAAACTCCCTGCATTAATTTCCACATTTAGTCTCTAAGATGTTCACCAGTTGTGCCTAATTTATAAAAACCAAAGAAATATGGAGCAAGATTGAATAATGATAGTTCAAGTGTCAAATTTATGAGGGTTTATTAAAGGGATAGTTCACCAAAACATGAAAATTCTGCCATCATTTACTCAACCCTATGTAAGTCAGTGGCAGCCAGCATTTTTCAAAGTATCTTCTTTTGTGTTCAACAGAAGAACGAAACTCATTAAGGTTTAAAAACCACATGAGCGAGAATAAATAATTAGGTAATTAAATGTTTGTTTGTTTGTTTTTTTGGTGAACTATCCCGTTAAGTAGAATATAATATTATTATTATTTTAGATTTGTAGATTTTGTTTAATTTAAAATTGTGTTTTCCTTTGGACCATGATAACATTTTGACACTCTCAGCTTTCATTTCCACGTTTAATCTCGGTGACTTTAACTAATTGTGCCTGATTTATAACAACCAAAGAAATGTGGAGTAAGATTGAGTTATAACAGGCCAAGTGGCAAAAGTATTGGTATTTATTTATAAGGGATAGTTCACCCAAAAATCTGAATTCTGCCATCTTTAACTCAACCCTATAGAAGTCCATGGCTGGGACATGAGGGATAATAAATGATTTGGTAGTTTTCATTTTTTTGGTGAACTATCGATCCCGTTAGGTAGAAGATAACAAATTATTAGAGTTTTGTCTTATTTAAAATTGCGTTTCTAGACTGCTGATGTACAAATCAACTTAGTTTTATTTTTATAGCATATTTAGATAATTATCTACACAATTATTTGTAAAATAACTGCTGCTTTTTCAAAATCTGCTCCTGATTTTTTCCCGTTATTTGTCTTTTGCCTGTTTATCTTTAAAAACTTTCCTTTAGATGTTCTACAGTCAGTGTTTAGTTTACAGATCAAGCAAATTACACCAGTCTTGACTCTGTGATTGTCTTTTTATAAACGTGAGGTTATGTTTTTGAACACCTTGTTTTGGATGACTGTTTCTGAAAGTATTGCATATTGATTTGTGGACTTGAATGAGAAACTGAAGTGCCTGATAAAGACTGTTACTTTTGCCTGAAGTGTAAACATTCTTATTTGCGCAGTGAATAGAAATGTGTTTGTTTTTTGTTTTTTTACAAATATGATTTTTTTTTCAAATAAAGTGGACCATTTATTATGGTTTTTAAACAAATTACAACTTGTGACAAATAAATCTTTTGCAGTTAAACTGTTTTTCCAATTTTCCAAACATTTAATCTGGATCAGATTGGTCCAGATTTGGAAATCCTGTTTTGCTATCCAGCTTGAACTGATCTGTCGTTCTTATATGACAGTTTTTTAAAGGAACATTGTGTTGGATCACTGTGATCCAAATATCAAATTTCAAGATTACCAAATTCTTTTTACCAGATCATTAAATTTAACCAAACGTGTAGCCTACTGGCATAGCAAAGAGCAACTGGTAGGCAAAATACCATCACAAAGAGCCATTGTTTGTTTTAATGGTGAGAAACAGAAACTCTGCAATCAACAAATATATGACATTTTTTAGTTTGTTCTAAAACAATACTGCTAATACAATTGTTTTGCTGCTGTTTTTTATCATATCTCATTAAATGTGACATGCTTCAAATATGAAGACATTTATTTATCATCAGTAACCATTACGTTTGTGATCATTCACTTAAAAAATACAACTTGTTTTATTTGGTTAAAAAAAACGTGGATAATCCTTTTTTTTTTTTTTTTATCAAAAAGATCTCTGAGTTCAAAGTTTTGAACAACCCAAGGGGCATGTTTGATCTAAATCAAATGTAAAATTGAATTACATGCTCTGGTCCTAATGACCATGAATCTTTTGAAAAACTAATTTTCAAGATTTTATCCAATCCATGATCCAAAATCCCACTAGATTACTTTTGAACAACTAGGCCCTGGTAAATAAATATATTTATCCATTTCTCAGTGTATATAGGTAATATATTTTGGTGCATTTAAACAAAACAGATTTATTAAATGAATATATTTATTGAAACAATATTTTAGTCACAGAACATAGAAAGATTAGAGATTTAAATTCATGCGAAATATTGCGGAAAAATACTTTTAACAAACTTTTATAAAAATATTTTGCTTCTCTTGAATTTTGCTCTTTTTAAATGTTTAATTTAATATTTTTCCCTAACATATTTTGGTGTTCTAATTTTAGATCGTTATCATAAGTGATTTTGTTATCATTTGTTGATTTTGAGCATTGATTACTATCATGAGTGATTTAGTTATCATTTGTTATTAGCTCCTTAGTTGGTTCAGTGTATATGCACAAATATATATTGTAAAGCTTCCCATAGAAAATGTATTCCGTACTCCGTTGAATAGCCCAGCCAGAGCCCTGAAGTAAACCCAATTGAGCATCTCTGGAGACACCTAAAAATGGCTGTCCACCAGCGTTCACAATCCAACCTAACAGAACTGGAGAGGATCTACAAGGAGGAATGGCATGAGGATCCCAAAATCCAGGTGTGAAATACTTGTTGCATCTTTCCCAAAAAGACTTTGTATTTCCCAAAAAATTACTGTATTAGATCAAAAGGTGCTTCTACTGAATACTGAGCAAAGGGTCTGCATATTTAGGACCATGTGATATTTCAGTTCTACAATTCTGTGTTTTTCTGTCAATATGGGTTGCTGCGTGTTCATTAATAAAGAAAAACATTAACATAAATGATTTTACCAAATGACTGCAATATACTGTAGCAAAGAGTGAAAATTGAAGGGGATCAGAATACTTTCCATACCCACTATACTGTTTATATATCTGATATGTGTAAGGAAATCTCTTTTTTTTTTTCTCCTATGATGTTCTTTTAATATAAAGATACAATGGTACAACATAGTCAGCCATTTGAGTGTAAACAAACAATAAGCCTTTAAATGACATTTATTTCTGAATTCGCATTTTGAACACATGATTGTTCTAATGGTATGCAAAGCAGGTATTTTCTTGAGACTGACATGGATTCAGAAGTTAGCAAGCAATACTGTTTTTGACATAAATATGCACATTTTCTGTGGACAACAAAGCAACAAGTCAGTTTTATATAGTAGCTTAATAGAATTACTAGTTTTTTTTTATCATACTGAAGTATTAAAAATGTTATCTTGATGCAAAACCTTCAAAAACGTCCTATATGCAATCAAATTTTGATTAATTCTCTAGAAAAAAGGAAACAATCTTAAAGTCCCTTTGATTAAAAGATACCAAATTGGTTTGTTTTTCTGTGCTATCAGACAAAATACATTCATTTTGTATACATTTGGAATAGATCCCAAAACCCTGCAGTATCGTATACTTTCATATAATTTTAGGGATATACAAACAAACATTGCCTTACAAGAAAATACAGTATGAATATACAGTACATCCTCATCTTTATAGACAAAACACTAAAAATATGGTTTATAAGTCTCTCTGGAAACCTCTTTCTCAGGAGGAACCACAAATATGCATGAAACGGTACATTCAAATAACATTTAGGCATCTTGGCTTATGCAGATTTTTTTTTCTGGATCAATAACAAAGTCACACAAGCAGCGGTAGCAAGTGTAATACGCTGTCACAATAAACAAACGAGTTTGAGCGTTGAAAAACTTCTTACGTAAAACAGCTGCAAATTGACGATTATTAGTGTCCATCTTGTGTTTTTACTCATTGTTTGCGAACTCCCCTGCCTCCCAGCGCAAAGCCATGGCACTTTTGCGGCGGGCTCTAGTATAGGGTTCAGGAAACTAGGGAGAGGACAGAGAAAAATAATAAAAATAATTTTAAATATTACAGTTAATATAAATAATATTAACATAATAGACTATAGAAGTTGTGTTGTCAATCTCAGTGTATATTTACTTACTCGATGATCGCAAGACAAAGCCGAACGATCCATTCTGCATGTTTTCATTGGAGACGAAGGGGATGACTTGCATTTAATTGGCACATCATCTGAAATTAAATAATTTCCAAGAATTAACAGATCTTTTCTCACTTTTCATCATATAGATGTGATTTGCAGTCTCAGGGTGTGCTCCCACTTGTACTATTAACTTTAACGATTAACTATAATGCTAAACAAACAAATTATATCTATAATGGTCTATGAATATTGGCAAATCAGTCAATTTGAATGTTATCACTCGATTGAATGAGAGTTTTCAGTGGTTATCAGCTGATAGGTATGAGTTAGTAGAGGCATTCTGTGCCTACTGTTACCATCTACATAGCTATAGATCACATACGGCTGCGGCTGGAAGTTAACGAGAATTATTTATTAAATTTCCCATGAATTGTATTTTATTAATGTCTACCCTAAACCCAACCATCACAGTAATGTAAATACAAAATCTGAATCTTGAGTCTTCTCTATTAGTATAGCTGATTAACCATGTATGTGAATGATAACAGCCCTCTGAGCCTACACAGAAGGCCCTACTGGCCCATGTCTTTCAGCTGATAACCATTGATAACGCCTATTCAATCGAGTGATAACATTGAAAGCGGGTGGTCAGATGAGTGTCATCCCATGAAAAGTTTGGTATCGGTTCATTTCCAAATGAACTCTGTTGATGTTCGTCTGAAATGTGAATACAACATAGAACAAATACATCTAAACCAATCAAAAAATAAGACATTGACTAGTCGCGACTACAAAAAGACCCGAATCTTTAATCATACAGTCTTAAACGGATTCTTTATTGCCATCAGTGGTTCCTTGAACAGCCTTGTTTCCACTAAGCAGTACAGTTTAGTCCATTTCAGTACAATCCGGTATGGGTCATATTAATTGGGCTCGCTCTACTCATATCATGTCTTTTGCGTGCCCAAGTTCATTATTTTAAATGTACAGTTTATGTGCAGCAAATGTAAGTAGAGAGCGGAAATAGTGCACCTTGTGCTTTCTATATGTTTAGATTTGACATATGAATGGCCCTGTAAACAACAATGGAGGACATATGGCAGATCCTGTTCTTGCTTCTTGTCACAAAAAGATAACAAGCTTTGTTTGAGCTTGGGTCGACCATGGTTTCTCTGAATCAATTATTAAATCAATCATCATCCTGTAGTAAGTCTAGCTTATTGTTGTGATAGGTTACCTTACAAAAGAGTGCCAAAAATGTGGTATCATTTGCTGTTTTGGTACTTCTGACATAGAAAACAGAAATAAATGTAAGCTGTACTTTACTGAATTGTACCAATTGGTGGAAAGAAGTCATAGCATTCATCAAACTTTTAATTACAGAAATTGTTCTTTATACTGTAGTGGCTAAATGGTTCTTTGGGCAACCCAAAAAAGTTTGTGACATCGCTGTAATTTTTATTTGTTTATTTATTTTTTGGCACTGGAAATGCATCAGACCATCAATCATTTGTGAACACTGTTATATAATCATTACTTAATATTTTTGAAATCCCAAAACTATGTCACTTGTTGTTGTTGCCATGTATTACCTGTAAACAATGAGCTGTCCAAACGGTTTGGAGACATTAGAAAGTGCTCCTTTGTGTAAAGGCCGGCCCTTTGTCGCTTCAGTTCCTCTTCTCGCTGCTTCACCATCTTTATCTCCTCATCAACAAGAGATATTGTACTCCTGGATCGCAGCTTAAAAAATGGGTTGTTGAGGAACATTTTTTCCTGGGTTTCTTCCGAGACAGAATTCAAGTTGAAATCTGACGCACTTCGAATAATGAGGTTGGATGTCTCCAGAATGATGACATTAGGAGTGTCTTCAGGTCTCCAGTCAGCAGATTTGGAGGACACCATCTTTCCATGCCGTGGACTTGGAGGTTCTGGCTCGAGGATGATAACACTGTTAGTGGCCAAGTCTTGTTTCTGTGAGCCTTTGGTTGGCGAAGAGGTAATGATGAAAGATGGAGTCGTGTTGTTGAGCAGTTTGGATTTATTTCCCTCGTCGTCATTCTCATCAACGTCTTGGCATAGTTTTCCAGGGTTCAAGCTGGCAGATCTTGCTCTCAGCTGTACGCAGTCACTGGAGTATGATTTAGACATCACTCTCTCACGCCTTAAGTTTTCGTCACGCTCCATGGTTAGGCGAATCTCTTTCTCAATTGGGATTTCTGGGTCATCAAATGGTGATTTATAACTAGAGTCATCTAGACCCGAATCTTCAGAGCAAGGGCTGAACTGGGTGTGCGCATAGTCCTCTACAAGGGTCAAGCTCTCAAGATCCCTCTTCGACCTGTCAATGTTGCGGACAGGCGTATACATGAAATTGTGACTACCTTGGCAGGTGCCAGATCGAGCTGTTGGTGTGCTTGGATGGTGACTCAAGTTTTTAGTTTGCTCTTCGATCTCTAGCCACTGTTGACGAGCAACTTTAAAATCCACATGTTCAGTACTGACATTCTCGCTTTTCATTTCCTGAATCACACAGTAATCTTTCGGCACCTTTTTGCTGGAATCGGATTTGACAGAATCAAAGGAATTGCTCTTGTGGGTTGCTGTAACTCGTCCAAGTTCTTCATCATCCTCAGAGATCTTGGACAAGCCATGGTATAGAGTGGACGGATTGTAAGAAATCTCTTGTGGTTCCTCATCTGGCTCATTTTCTGGTTGCTCCAGC